TATATATATATATATAATAAAGGAACAACAACAAAATGAACAGTAAAGTCAAACTATGGCTTGTAGTTAATTTTCCGCATCCATATGATTTGCTATTTACGTGACGGACGTTTCAGGCGTAATCCAAGGCAACAATCTCACGTATATGTGCACACAGGTGAAGACGTGCGTTGAGGACCAACAGAATAAAACGGTCTGGATCTCAACAGCTAGCGTGCAATATTAGCCTCGCTATAAACACTGGCAATACGACATATGCTGACGAGTTGCGCCAAAGGTTCGGGTGGTCGTGGTCAGTCTTCCAGCGTTATTAAATGACACCACCAATCAATCAAATAAAAACCAAAGCGAAACAAATCAGCAGTACCAAACGAACGCCTGTATCCCAAGCAATAATACTTATTTCGCAACAGCTGCTGCAAAAACAGCAATTGTTGTTTATACAATAAGTCAGCGATACTCCAAGCGATTATAACTATATTATCGTTAATAATGGCGATAAGAATAAACGTATATATGAATAATGATAGCAACTATGTAACGCTAATATCGACTATAGAAAGTCTAGAATAGGACAGCCATCGTTTCGGAACAGGCCTGGTATCTGCTGATAATGAGGTATCTGGCGTTCGCGTTCGCCGCAGACGCAGCTTCGCTGAGAACGCAAACGAAAACATCGACTTTAACAACAACAGCAGCAGCAGCAGCAACAGCAGCAGCAGCAGCAACAGCAGCAGCAGCAGCAGCAGCAACAGCAGCAACAGCAGCAGCAGCAGCAACAACAACAACAACAGAGAGAATTGCGAAGAGCGATTAGTCGATCGTTCCCTGTAATTACGTAAAATGGCTAACGTGAACTAACACTAGTGAAACAAGTTATAGTACTGTTATATAACAATAGTAGTTCCAATATTACCGAACGTATATTCGTTTTGTTGGCGTTCATTTCAAAGTACCGCTTCTCTTCGGGCTGTCAGATAGATAGTCGTCCAATGTAGATTAACAACCCAATGATGACGATGATCTACACGACCACTGCAGACTGACAACAGCGACGACTCGTCCAGAACCGAGAGAGAGAGAGGGAGAGGGAGAGGGAGAGTAAGCTAAATTTGTTGAAGAACTCAGATGTTGACGGTTCAGGGTTAATAGTAAAGGCCGCAAAAAGCTTCAATTGTCGTCATTGTAACGTGACGCACAGACACATGATTGAACACGTGCAGCGATGTTGGTAGAGCGATCCAAAGCGCCTATGCGTGTTTTTTTCTTTCTTTAAATAAAACAAAAATCACACAGTATAACGATTTATTTTGCTAGCTAGTTTTGTATCTATCACATACACGTCTGCATTGATAATATATGTAGTGATCGTTACGTTGAGTAATTAGTGTAAAATTGTGGTTAATAATAAAATTATCTGTTTTAGACTTTTTTTTTTTGCCTATGTACGATGTAGTAGGGAGGGCGTATCCGGGTGCGCGGTGCTACAAACGTAGTCCTTTGTAAGGAGTTCGCTGTAGGGCAGAACTTGCCCCGGCAGCGAAGAGTAGCAATAATTTCATCTGCTGGAGATTGTATATCGTCGTTAACGAAAGAGCAGAAGGGTCTGCGCGATAGACCTGCTTGGCAAACAACCAACGACATCCACCACTGCTCCTCTGAACAGTATAATTTTTACGCAGCCGTAACTACAGGAGGCCCTACCGTTTCTACGAACGCTGAGTTTATTGAGCGGCTACGTGCTTTTTTATTGTTTAGCTTCTGCAGTGTCGATATGAATTTCCATCACCGCTGTCCGGTATCGTCACAACTATCCAGAGTGAATTGTATGAAAAGTAGAAAATAAACCTTGAGCAATTGAATGTGGCTAATAACTAAGACGGAGCATTTGTCATCTATAGATTAATTTGTTTTTTTCAATGGGATTTACTATGCTCGTCTTCACTAATTATCCCATTGTAACAACGGATGGACTTCACCCTTACCTAAGGCAATACAATGTGCAAGCAGGCAATGGTCATCAACAGATAGAGTAAGCATGATTCGCAAGTCATTGGTTAAATCTTTCGTGGAAATATATTAACAAAATTACTGCACAGACAAATTATGTACACGATGAGGAAATCGTACCAGAGGCGTTATTTCTGCTACAACGGGTTGTAACGATCTGTGATGGAACTTGTGTGGCCGATATAATGCCCCTACCTCTACTATTACAACAACATAACTAATGAAAAGTAGTTACTAACGTTGTATGGATAAATGGCAAGTTATTGTTGAACGTGCATCAGAGGGAGCTCGGCTGTCGTGCCACTGACGAGTTTCGGAATCTACGCGTTAGCTAAACGCGTAGATTGTGTGCGTAGGGCGTGCTACTAATACGAATACTGACTCTCTTTGGGTATAGCTTTTTCGGCTAGACGCTGTAAACGTTTGAGTCATCGGTGTGGCCTAGTAAAGAGAAAAAAAAATAAAAAGACTATGCCTGTGCACACAGTTGGCCATCGATCTGCCTACCAAAGTATGAAAAACGTGCGCAAGTAGTAAATATAACAGCAAAAAGAACGGAAAGCGCGAAATTAGGTCGACATTTTAAGAAGACCGCTCGATCTGGAGTACGAAGTACTAATATCAGTTGTTTGGGAGACAACGACAGTTTGACTGGTGGGAAGCGCGGCGACTGAATGAAAAGCAAGTGTTGTTGTGCCGATTGTTACAACGGTGAAGACATCGAATGGTAACCATATGATGCCAAAACAAATATGCCCGAATGTCCTGCCATCATTTTCTTAACTGTTTTGCCTACGCTGCATGATATTTTATATATTTACCCGTTACCAAATAGGCCAACCTACAAGCCTGCCGACATTTAATAGCGGAGAGCGCCCTATAACCTGTTGTTATCAGAAAATATCCATTGTACAGCCTTTGTGTTTATATGAATATCTGTTTAGAGAAATGGCTAAAAAGTTGCTAAAGGAAACAGGAACAGTCTCAAGAAAGCCGGCTTTTCAAAGCCGCTGAATTTCGTAAAATAATCCTTCTAACAAAAATTCAAACAAAATGAACCTGTGATCCGTCATACAATGAGGAGTTGATCTAGAAGGACCTTAACATCTCGCTGACGAAATCCTGGACGAATCGGGGGATTCGAAGCGTACCGTTTGGCGAAAGTGATTTGTTACGGCCCTACGAAACAGTGTTTGTTCGCTAGTAAAGTAGATCGATCAGCGATATGACACGCGGCAGTTTCATGGACCACACCCGAAAGCTATCGGAAGCTATGTGGGTTTGCTAGTTAGAAATCATTTCGATGGGTTATTAGAGACCTTCTCAACGAACCTTCCGATAAACACTACCTTTTAACTCAACAATAATAACAATGGCTTTACAATAAGGACGCCATCTCCCAGAATCAACCGATATCGTCTTATGTGCCTGTGAGACACGCGCATAATCTAACGCGTCGTGCCAGGCCATATACCATTATCGTCTTCCTGATTAGTAACTGACCGCTATCGGATGGCAGCGACGTAAGCATTTGTTGCATGATCGTCTTATCTATGTAAGCATCTTAGATAGGCCAATAGAAGTTGAAGAAAGCCATACAATGGCATCAGAGTGCGCTCTGCAAAGATCATACTTTTGACGACAGCCTAACGATTCATGAGTCAGAATTGTAGCAACATTAACGTGCAACATACCATGTCATCTGGGCAACGATTAGAAATTATGTAGTAGTATGAAAAAGCGACTTGATTGTAAAAACTAACTCATCTGTTTGCTAAAAAAAAGGCTAACTTCACACTAATAGCTTCATCAGGCGGCGGGGGGCGGGCAGAGACGCAGGTGACAAGGTATAGAGTAGAGGCCGTAACACGACGTCGGCTGGTAACCATGTAACAGGAAGTGCACCGGCTGAAGCAGTAGAAACACAGAATGAAAACCGCGCCTGCTGGAAGTCAATATTTTCATTCGTTAATAATTTTTTCCAGTTCAATTTTCTTAGGAGTGTACCGTTGTCGAGGCAGAGTTTTCGGGCGGAACGGACGGTTCAAGCAAGAAAAATTCTCGCCGTCACCCAGAGCTGTCCTGCCCGACAGAACACCTCGGCATAAACGACAGCAGAGCACATGGATGTTGAGCTACTGACCTACACGGCTTCTTCTCTGGTTCAATATTATGCTTATATAAACTGTGTGACAATAAGAGTAGAAATAACAAAAATAACGATAGTAATACCATTATTAGCTCAAAAACAGAAAATTTCGCCTATCATATCTAGACTAACAATAATATTATTGATATTAATTAAAGATGAATTGCTTGCTAAAATGCTACTGCGGATCATGATTATGACGGCTATTGTACTTTCGTGCCATAGACGAAAATGTTATAATGACAAAATAGTAAGACAAGGACGTCAATCTCTTCATGAAAAATAAACAACTTCGCCATCGAACGCAATTAAGCGGACGAATTCTGTGTGTTTATATGTCTATGTGCCTTTATAGGCTCAGATCGAAGGAGATCACGGCTCGATGTTACCTACGAACACATCTCTTCCACAGTTTGCGGGGGAAAAGCTTTTTTTCTTCTTTGACTTCGGTTCTCGTCACGCGTTAAGATGACTAACGTTAAGCGTCAAGATTTAAACGTATCCAGAATGATTGAACCGTGCTCGTATTTACAATCGTCATGTCTATAAACGGGCTCGTCTATTCCGCTGGCCATCTGTCGAATGACCAGTCCAAGTATAGAGTTGATGGGAGTCTATCGTTTAGACTATTTTATAGCTATTTATCCCGTTAAAATGATTAATTTTAGTTATTTTTAGATTCCTTTATGTATTCTATAGGTTTTAGGTGAACGCCTTATCAGGGCACATGCTATACGTCCACTTGAAAGCGCTTGTGGATAGAGTTTATAAAAGTTACTAGGAAGTTGGCGTAGAGTAGAGCTAACCAAAATAGCTTTGTACATTCAAGTTCAGTTCGAACGAACTGAGCAAGGTAGATTCAGTATGGCGGACGCAACAAGGGAACGTATCCACTAATAAATTGCTTGTTTCTATTATATATGTAGACGCTTTTTTAACCGTAGATTGCCACTGTCGAATAGTGGAAATATATATCTTAAGAGGATCGACAATAGGTTCTTTGAAGGTTTTGTTTTCAATCCACGGATCGTTCTTACACAACTCAATCTTGAAAGCATTTGGCAATAAACTAGAGCTAATCATGTCAGCGTATACTTAATGGCGTGTTATTCTAATCCACGCTACACACTCCCGAAGAAACCTAGACGTCGAGGTCCTAAGATTTCTAGGGGCGCCATTTTGAGAAAGGAACCTGTGTCCCTAACTGGCGCGCGAGTCTTCAGATGATTAAAACGTGCCGAACGACAACTATCTTGATGGGTTCGTCGTCGTCTGGCGCAAGCGAAAGCAGCATAATCGAAGCATCGGTCAAGAGCTCAATATAGACTTGACGAATTTGTAAAGATGTCGCTATTCTTCAACAACGTTTCGGTAAGGGTGTTCTGCATATTCGCGTTCAGCTAGTGCGGGATAGTAGTTCTTTTGGAAGTTTCGATAAAGCGACGTTAGAAAAACACTGGAGAAAAAAGGTGAAGGCAGCGAAACCCAACCACGTCCACAAAGCCCAAAAAGGCCTTTGCCTCGGACAAAAGCTAGGAGCACCTCTAAATGGCGGTACGGCCTTATGCGAAAATTTCGGCGGACAAGAATCGCAGAGTGCAGACTAACCCGCACCTTGGGTTCTTTGTGAGTAATTGATACTTCGTTTTCTGAAACAAAATGTTGGACCGATTATGCTTTATAGAGCATCGTTAGGCCACGACGCTCCGTTCGGTTGCTACATGATGCCAATTTGAGGAATCGTCGCCTCCCTTCTGGCTGCCTCAGCAAGTCTCAAAAAAAAAGTAATAACTACTGCATGATGGTGTCATCAGACTTTTTAGGATTTGTCTGCTGCCTTATTCTTTTTCGTTTTCCTTTCACATGTTCGTGTGTGCCTAAATCGTGACACCCTCATAAGTCATATGGTTGCTTTAGGCCGATCTATCGTTCTGCTTTGGGCGTCGCACTCACTTTCAGCGAAGACGGCAGATTTATCTCAGAATCTGTCAGAGGTCTCTTCGAGCACGACGAAGCAAAAACAATATCACCGGATTATGCCGTTTTTCTTGTGTCATTTAAGCACGAAGGTGCACTGTATGGTTTAGAAGCCGCCGACGATTTGGGCGGTTCCCGTCATGCAGAAGAACGTTACATCGCACTGCATAGAGGAAATGCGATATTGTACAACGCTTCCCTGCTAAATCAAAACGGAGCACGGCATAAAACTTCATAGTCTGTCAGCCTTCTTGTGAGCGGTTATAACATTCGCATGCCGTTTCCTTCTTTCTCTGATTCAGTAGGAGGTGCATCAGTTGCTCGAAGCAAACCCGTTGAAGCTTCTGTATCAAACCTGCTTAATAGCCATCTGGATTATACTGAAAGCTAAGAGGTACATATTTATCGTAACACAGAAATAAGCTTAATATTCAAAGGGTTAATACTAGCAGCTGGCTCGTAGTAAGAAGCAAAACGTTTTTTCAGCACCTTCCCGCTAATATAAGCGATTTTTGCGGTAGGAATGAATTAAAGTATTCTACGGGAAAGGGGTATACTGACGCTAATTCAAGTCGTATGAGCTACACAGTTAAGGATCTGAAACATTTGAAACACTATAAAGTCTTGCGAGGAGATCGAATCTGACGTTTCCTAGTTGTAGGCCCGGTGCCCTTCGTTTTTGTGGTACCTGAGCATATAACGATATTAATACAACGATTTTAACGTCTTAAATAATAAAACGATTATGAGGCGATTCACTACCATTAGCTAAGGACAGTTAGTCAAAGTTTTATTGTTAGATTTACAGTCATAAATATTTTTTCTTCTGTTGACATGGAGAGGACACAGCTTTCGAAGCCTTTTCCAGCATGAATCAATGAGCTGACTAAAGTTTCGCTTGTTTATTAGCGATCATCCGACACCGCAGGTAGACAGCTTTCGGTGACATATTTACTTAGATCTTGTTGAGCGTCATCGGTGCGTTTATACTTAACCGAGATACTTAATTTTATATTAGGTATTATTAGATAAAAAAATAGATTCTTGCCGTTGAGGGCTTTCGTTGTAATTAACTCTCGTTTAGACTAGCGACTAGATAACTTTACCGATTGTGATTCCTGTAAATAAGTTACACACCTTGTCTGAATCGTCTGTCAAATACATACGGAAAGGGCTATTCAATGGAGAGAACGAGAATTCTAGCTAAGCTTAGATATAGGAAGGTGGGTGCGGTTTTCAGCTATTATAGTGTTCATTGCAATGCGTAGCCAATATGTCTATACTAAATATTCCATTAAGTGTTAAAAAGGCATACAGTAAAACCA